GACGCCATCCTAGGGACCAGTTGTTTGGGTCCCATGCCTCAAGACGCCCCCCTGGACCTCCCGGTGTGCGTCCTGACTGTAATACTTGAGGCGGAGCCAGCAGCCAGCTGCGGCCACGGGAGCGCCCCAGGAGACCCGCATCACAGAGCCTCGATCCTCGTCGGGTTGGCCCAGGACCAGGATGAACGCTCCAGAGCCTTTCGGAACGCTCCTAGAGATTTCTGGAGCGCTCTGGAACAGGCCGCGGCGCCCGATACATCCTTCAGAGCCCACAGATCGCAGAGAGATCCCCGAGTTATCCCGGTCCGATGTTGTCCGGGCCCTGGCCTCGTCCTCCCTCGGGGAGGCACGGGCCCGACCAAAGTCCCGGGCGCGGCGCCCGCGAGCGCGGCGGCCAGGCAGCAGCGCGGCAGCGAGCTCGGCGACCTGGGGCAGCCCGCCCTCGACGACTGCCCGCCGCACGCGCTGTGGCCCAGCACGCTGCGGAAGCTGCTGGGGCGGCTGGACGCCCTGGAGCTGGTGGACGCTACGGGCGGCAAGGACGCCGCCGGCCCCCCGTGCGCGCCGCCGCCGCGCCGCCTTGCGGGAGGCCGCCGCCGGCCGCCGAGGAGGAGGAGGGAGCTCGAGTCGTTGCGTTTGGGCCGCTGGGCCTCTTCGCCCCGGCGTTGTTCCCACGCATGTTGTGTGGGTTTCTTCTGTCTTGTCAACCCACGCAGCACCCGTGGCCTCCTCCTCCTCCTCCTCCTCCTCCTCCCCCAAGCACGACGCCCGCGTGAGACACACGTGCACGATGCAGCCACACACACACACACACACACACACACTTCGCACACATAGTTACACATGACACACTGACGCAGACGTAGTCACGCATATCACAAGTACACCACACAGACCGGGGAGTGACACAGCATGACAGGCGTGGCATCTCCTCGACAAGGGGTGCGCAGGGGGTGGTTACCCTATTCATCTTAGACTCCTATGGCGCGGCAGGCGTGGCATTTCCTCGACACCACAGGGGGGTGGTCTCTGAGCGCGGCCTCTATCCGTGACATGCTCGCACGGCCTGGCAGGTGTGGCACTCCTCGACACCATGAGGGGTGCGGAGGGGGTGGTCTCTGAGCGCGGCCTCTACCCGCGACACGTGCGCAGAGCATGGCAGGCGTGGCACATTCTCGACACCAGAGGCGGTGCGCAGGGGGTGGTCCCTGAACGCGGCCTCTATCCGTGACACGCTCGCAAAGCGTGCCGGGCGTGGCATTTTTTCGACACCCCAGTGCCGCCGTCTCTATCCTCGCTTCTTTTCCCCTTCCTCCCTCCCCCCCCTACCTGCTCAGTATGACGTGATTGTAATATGCCTGACCGCGTCAACTATGGCAGCAACAGCGGCAAGGTCCTGATCATCCGCCTTACTGCGCCACCCGAGCAGCTAGACAGCCTGGACCAACGCACAGAGCATGGGAGAAGGCTCGCACTTGGCCCCAGGTGTCAAGAGAGATGTCGCACTAGCAGGGGTCCGAGCCTGGGGCCAGCGGGACAGTGTCGTGGGCGACCGCCAATCGCCTGGACATAGCAGACTTTTGTACCATTTCGCCGCAGAGGGGATCCAAACACGGAACCTGTGGCGCGGAGCAAACCTTACACTCGTTGGTTTCCGCAACATTAGCAATGGCAACACATTGGGCACCGATCTTTCTTGGCGGAAAAACGTCCGCGCGTCTTCCATGAACCCCCATATCTTCTGTGAGTCCGAGCAACTCTCTATTAACGTCTCAAGCGTACGATGCGCGGGAGTCCACACTATTGGCGGCCGACACTGATTACGAGAACTCTGGATGAAGATTTTGCGCCAAGCCGTCACGTGCGCGGCGAGGCCGCAGGCAAGGATCTCACCGCTGACCCTGACGCACAAAAGCCGCATGATCACTAATCGGCGTGAGCTCGCCTGGCTGGACTCGCATCGCCTCGAGGCCCGCCCAACGTTGGCTCCAAGGAACAGACCTGAATCTACCTGGCAGCTGAAGAGGAGGGAGGAAGCGATGACGAGGACGAGGCGCCCCTTTCCCTTCCCTTCCGAGAAGCCGACTCCAGCTTCCGAGGGGGACCCGCCCCTTCCTCCTCCCTTTCCACCTACAGCGTTTCCGACTCCAGCTCCCTACATTCCGACATCCGCGCTGTAGTGCGGTACTTAAAGAATTTCACGACGGAGTCGGCCGCGCGGGCCGCATCAGAACTCGTCGCGCGGGCGGCGCTTGTGGATGTCCAACCCCTCGGTCTCCACCATAGTCTGCAGCAACGACCCCGCGTCCTCCAGCTGAGCTCCGAGTCCAGACCTGAGGCGCCCCGGCGCACCCGCCGCTCCCTGCAGGGGAAAGCCCTCTGGGCGACATCGGCGCCGCTCCGCCCCCCCCTCCCTCCCGAGACGCCGAGGTCCGCCCGCGGAGAGCCGGCCGCGCCGGTGCGCTTTACGACGAAACGGCCCCAGCCACGCCCGCGCGCT